TGTTCCAGCTCTACTTTCAGTAGCCAAATCAACAGATAAGCAAGATTAATGTTCACTGTTGAAAGTTCTCATGAGAACCATAACCTTTAAGTTTTGGGGCAACTAGTGATTGTGGGTGCCTAGGCCAAGATGCTATAAAGCAGCCTGATTTTCAGAAGAGTGCCCAGCCTCTCCAAGCTATCTGAACTGGCTTTCTGAAGTCAGACACCTCCCACCCCACCACAAGTCACTCTTGAAAAAAAGTCTTGGCTAAAGCTTTCCCTGCAGTAAAGTTTCCAATCCTTCAGTGTGATCCACATAAGAAAACCCTTATGGAGGCCCACTAAAGTAACTAGGGTTCTTCTGCAAGGAGCCAGGCGACCACCTGCATAAATTATTGCAAGAACAGACTAAGTAGGGATGAGAGGATACCTAACGAGAGAACTTGCCCCACTGATACCTCGATAGTACAGGCACAATATTCATACACCTATAACTAGGTAGGCTGACCAGAAGATTAGGAAGGGGCCTGCAAAAGGGGAGTCTAACCAACCAACAAGATCTAGAATCCATACCCTATGGACAAGATCTAACTGTAGCCAAGTAATGTACATAGCGATTCCCTCTTCCATATCACCCTCTGTCTGAAGTGATTTAAAGTTCTTCATCCTTACTAAATGCAGGCAGGGAAAAGCTGTATCTTCCAGTCCCTACCATACAACCTCTCTTAGTTACAGTGCTGTACAGTACATTTTTGGCTCGGGGTATGAAGAGACCCCCCCTCTCCCCAGAGCACAGCAAGTGACAGAACTGTAAAGCAGGCTACCAGCACATGGCCACACTTTCAGTTTAAAGTGCTGCTGTGGCTGCTCTTTAAACTACTATGTTTAGACAAAGCATTAGTCATGCTCCCAGTTGTTTCACTGCACCTCTTTGCAAGATGGCTGAAATGACAATCACTGGGCCATCTCAAAGATCTTAAACAAAATTTCTTCTTAAAAAAAAAAAAAGACCAAAGATGGATCTCAGAAGTACTTCTGTTTAGTTTTGTCATCGCAGATAAACACCAAAATGCGACAATTACTCAAGAGAAATAGACAGATCTATAAGCAATTATTTTTAGTCCACATTACCCTATTTCTATTTAACATGAGCCACATATAATCAGGAAAGAGAAGCCACTCCTTTGCCTTAAATTCATGTTGGCTTCCTTACCCTACTTCCTAGTCAGAAATAGACTTTAATACATCATTTTTTGCTGTGTGATTATATAGTTAAATACTTTCAGGAAGCAGGCATCTGACTTGCCAGATAATTGGAGGGTTTTAGCCTCTAAGAGGACTCCACACATTCAGATTATTTTTAAGATCACTGATTTCACCAGGAATTTGTGGATGGAAGATAGTGTGAACATACATTAACATTCCACTTACTTAACCTTAGAATTGGCAGAGAAGAATTTTAAAAATACCTTAAGGGCTGATATGCATTAAGGATATGAAGGGGTACCCAGTGATTTGATACTTACCAGTAACTGCTTAACCAGTGACCTGGTCAGGGAGCTGCTCTAGCCTGGCCAGTTCTACCACGACCAATAGGCTGCTTCGGCCAAGACGGGCCCACTACGTCATGCCACAAGTGGAGGACTGCTCCATGGTTAACCATACCGTTTAAACAGTTAACTTTTTAAATTTTAGCTTACATCCCTAGCATACATTACACAGTCTTTGTTGATACAGCCCTATGGGCACAGCTCTCGAATATAGGCATAACATATGCCCTTGAAGAGGGGTTTCTGCAAGAATAGTAACAGAATATCCCTGAATGACATAAAACTACATCAACAGAAGTATGTATGCTGGGGGTTGCAATCACAAGTATGTTGGCTGGGAGGTGCCATTTTTTCCACATTCCTGAGGGTCATAGCTATGCCAACAACATTTTGTAGAATAGACCTGGCTTAAGTGTTTGAAAAGAAGCATATTGGAAATTGAGAAGCAACTTACCATTTCCACTAGAGAGGAAAACCATGATAAAAAGGTTAAGGTCAGGGGAGGGAGAGAGCGTTATGCACTCAAAGTAACATTTTCAAGGATGCTAAAGTGATTTTGGAACCCAAGTCCCATTTTCAAAAGTGACTCTGAGAACCAGATTTTTAAAGATATTTAAGTGCCTAACACCACAAAGAGGTGCCTACTGGGATTTTCAAAAGTATTTAAACAGGTTAAGTGTGTAGCATACATTAAAAACCAATAGGCGTTAGGCACCTAATCCATTTAGGTATTTAAAAATTCCTGTTAGATACCTATCTTCATGTTAACGCACCATAACTTTGCAAATCTAACCCCCAAAGTTCTGGAAAAATCTGAAGTGGGCTGGGAAATTGATAACTATTTAAACATTTTATAAAAGTGTAAGCCAAAAGTCTCCTTTCACATGTCCTTTGTCCTATGAGTCTGAAACAAATGTTGCCAGAGTGAAAATGACGACTCAAATATATAAATCAACAGTCCACCCTAGCTCACAAATGTAAAACGCAAATGAATAAAAGTGATAACTCCTCCATGAACTTTAAAACATTAAAAAGACAATAGTGCAACAAACATTACTGTCTGGAAAGGTATTTTTACTATTAACTGTCTAAATTCTTTTAAGATCATTGTAATGAAATGATCATTAAAGCAACCTAGGTGTGAACATGACCCCTACACTCAATAAAATTAGCATTTGGGGCAACTACTATCAAAATCAGAAGAGGTCTTGATCACTTAAAAGTGGGTACAATATACCCATGATGGCTTTGTGGCAGAAGACATGGCCATGGGACCCTGCTGCTGCAGTAGAATCCACAAACAAAATTAAATAAGATCAGGCCAGCAAATCAAACAAGACCCCCCCAAAACAATGAAACAAAAATAAAAAACACACCGCCCCCCTGAGGATTTAAGATGAGCAACAGAAATTGAAAATCATTTTAATATGGCAAGCTTCTGAGAGAAGGCAGCAGAATGACCATAGATTCCCCAATGGAAAGCTTGAAATGTTGGAATGAACACACATTATTGGCTTCAGAGTCTTCAGTGACAGAGAGAAATCAATAGAGCTGCAGTCCTTCTCCAATGGCTGACAACATAATGCAAGGATTTCTAGGGCTATCTGATATTAGTAATGCTAGCTGGCTACTTGGACAATGAGAAGGAAACCATGTAAACCCCCTAATTAGCTGCATCTTAGTTTAAAATATTTGAGTTGAGCACTGTCATACACTGCAGATAATGAGGTAGATGGATAAAATTAACGTGAAGCCATATGTTAACTCACGTGACTTTAATATTAATGGCTTCTGGCATATCTAATTAAGAGATAATGCCAGTAGGATAATTGTCAACGGATAATAGGAAACCATGTAAACCCCCTAATTAGCTGCATCTTAGTTTAAAATATTTGAGTTGAGCACTGTCATACACTGCAGATAATGAGGTAGATGGATAAAATTAACGTGAAGCCATATGTTAACTCACGTGACTTTAATATTAATGGCTTCTGGCATATCTAATTAAGAGATAATGCCAGTAGGATAATTGTCAACGGATAATGGCGGGGGGGAGAGAGGAAGAGGAGAAGAGGCTGGAGCAAAGTCTAGGAATTTATTAAGGAAAAAATTGAGGCCTTCAAAAGGCACAAGACATTTACCATGCCCACTCAAAAAAACCCCAGCAAAACACTAAAGGAAAGCTAAGACATACATGCTTGATTAATGCCTCTAGTAGAAGGATCCCATTATTCTACAGTGATATATTCCAGGGACTTTACTATACCAGAGGACTAAATAAAGATGCAATACAGACAACTAGCTAAAACACAGTCTATGCCCCAATTTGAAACTAAGTTATAACAAATATTTATCATCTGTGTGTGATTACACGGATTTCTAACTAGGTTAAAAAAACCCTCCACACTATCAATAAATAAGATTCAGTAGCCTAAATGGCTATTACACACTTCATTATGTCTAAGAGATCATTTATTACAGTTTTGTGATTAAATGGCAAACACAGAGCATATGTTAACTTGATGCACATAAAAGTATTCTACTACTGTATGCTTGCATACTAATCAGGGTCTTCTACCACACTAATATTTTTCACTAAGCATATTAGCGCCAAACACGGTGAAAAAGAGTGTTTTACTCAACTGTTCTTTTTGTATAATGGTCTAGAAAACCTAGAACTAATATGCTTATGCCCTTTTAATTTCTGCATTATTAAAAGTAACAGGTCAGTTTCCCCAGGAGATAAAGCTGTTGAAGCCTATGGTATTCCTGAACAAAGAAAGAAAGTCTGTAATTATGGCAGTCTCTGACATCATGAGCGTATCATACCATTACCCAGCACACCCAGACATACTGGACAAGCATAACATCATTAAGAAGAACTTTGTCAAGTTCTAATATTTTTATTCAACAGAACATTTTTCCTTGAAAAATGTGGTTTCTGATCCAAAACAAAACGTTAACTCTACAAGCAGCCTCTGGGACAGAGAAGGAAGGCACTTAAACAGATGTAATCAATTCCCTGCTTGGGGGGGGGGAGGGGGCTACTTTTTCTAGTAACCTATGCCCATAAAAACAGTTATTTTCAAATACTCCCACACTAGGTTTTTCTTCTCTCTCAAAGACTCTAAAATGGTCACAGAGAAGTATTTTCAGATTAATTTTGCAGAGAACAACCCTCTGAAAGTCTCCTTCCATGCTAGATTTTTGAAAAGAAAATGAAACCAAAGCCCAAGAGTTTGCTTTTTTAGAAGAACCTCCCCCCTCTTTTCCCTTCCTCCCCTCCCCCACATGCAATGTGCAATGCAACCTTAACTCTTAATCTGATTATGGCCTAATCCCTCCTCCTTCCCAGCTGCTCTGATCTTTCTGTGCAACAGCAGGCCAAAGGCTAGAAAGAAACTTCTCAGTTGCAATCATCACCCTTGGAAATATTCCGGGTAACAATCAAAGCATTGAGGGCTCCTACTTTTTAGTGCAGTCTAGGAGAATCCCCGTGAAACGCCTCTCCCCGCAGCTCAAGGTGACCACCAACGTGTCGTTCACCATCTGCTCCACCAGCACCGGTAGCCAGGAGCCGACCTGCAGCTCCTTCGCTTCAGCCTCCTCCATGCTTGCAGGAGCTCGGCGTCCGCCTCAGTACAGCTGGAGCGCGGCAGCAGGCTCCCAGTCGGCCTCGCTTGGGCCCGCTGCCCGTTCTGCTCTGCTTTCTGCAATCCCCTCCCCCGCCGCTGCCGCTACTGCTGCCGCCGCCCGGAGAGCTACACCGGCCGCTGCGATGACCTCATGGCTCCAGGCTCCCCCTCAATTGGGAGGATTAGTAGGTGCGCTGACGTCACAATGCTTTCCTCCCGGGAACGTTCCACGGCCGAGTCCTGCAACAATTGGCTACAGTTCAGGGTGATTATTGGAGAAGAGCATGTCAGGAAGACTAAAGAGGCTACTGCTGCTGCCGGTGTGGCCTGTTGGGGGAAGGGGGGGGTGGAAAGCAGGTCTCCTTTCTGCCCCCAGAACACTACTTCAGTAACATAAGAGTCAAGTTGCTCTGCTCTCACATCACCGTATTCAACGTGTTAAAGGGTCAGTGCGTTACCCCTCTGCGCTATATTGGGATGCAGGAAAATCAGATCCATAGCACGTTAAAGAATCGAGGAGTCCTCTCTCTTCCCTAGCCTCGGTTTGAGGAGGATGAATACTCCACATGCAATAATAGGTTAGGTTAAGGATGTTCCCTCTTCTGCTCCAACCTTTGCTTTAGGGCATAATTACACCATCCTCACTTGTCTACAGCACGATCATTTACCCATGCTAAAGAATTTTCCTGGTTCCATATTGTTCCTTGTGAAAGACAACTACACCGTCATTTACTGCTAATCCATATGTATTGACTGTCTGGTCTGTCCTTATGTAAAAGGGGGAAGGAAAGAAGCAGTCTTTGTGGGGGTTTTTAAAACTAAATAAGCTGTTCCCATACTGCAGCTCTAAAAAAGATATCCTAGTTCACATATATTACAATGGCGTTTAAAGGCTGTCTTATGGCATTCAAATGCTGGCAAGTATACAAATCCAGCAAGTCCTTATATCCGCTTAAAAGGGGTTAACTGCAACCTTAAATTTGCTTTCTTAGGAAACTGAGAACAACTCACTTTTCTCAGCACCCATCAATCTGTACATTTTTATAACTCAAACACTTGCTCTTACAGAGTTGCAGGAGTGTCAAATTGTAAGTGAATGAGTGAAATTTCAATAAATTATGTGTGAGATTTCAAAAGCCTTACTGGCACACAATGCAAAATGCTTCATCATATGTAATGATATTGTAAAAACTGCTTTACAATTAATCCCAAATGGAGTGTCTGATTCCAAATGAGTAAGGCTGTCTTTCAAAACCTGGATTTATTATTGCAGTTTAATTTCAAGTGATATAAATCCCATTTTCTAGAATGCCTTTTTTCTAAATGATATACTGTGGTACTAGAAAAACTAAATCAGTTCTTATTCATTTAACTAAGGAAGAGATAGCTAGGGGTATTTTTAGCAGACAATAAAGCAAAAATCTGTTGCATTAGAAGATGGCTACTGGAAATTATGACAGGCCTCTTCCATATACAGCACTGAATTTGCAGGCATACGCATTTCTTTTCAAGGGGGAGTTCTCAGATCAACACTGAACAGAGGAGTCCTTTTATGTTTAAAGTGAAATGTATTTCATTATTGTTTCAAATAACAATTCAATGATGTTATTTTCAATAATCAAACAAAAGCTGACTGGGCAAATGTTCAGGTTTCCTTTCAGGCCTGTCAAGGCAGAGCAACAAGGAAGTAAAAAACAGTCTCATCTGGAAGCACATTTGATTAAAAGTAAGAAGGCCAACAGGCGCTTTTTTCTTCATATACAATCAAAGGCTAAAAGTTGTCAGTGCTGAGTGAATTTCAGAGGTTGTAAATCTTACTCTAGACTTAAGGTATACCAAACTGTTACTCCATTGGGCCTATACTACACAGTGCAACCATGAAAAGACAACTGCTTCTTACTGAGCAATGCTGCATTCAGAAGGGGGTCCAAGGTCAATCAGCCCTTCCTATCCATTCCAGATCGCACCATCATATTACTTCTTTAAATATATGCCTACAGCGCTGTAAAAAGTGCCTTGTCTGCATTATTTAATAATCATTATGGTTTACAAGAAATAGTTCAGTTAAATAAAGCAGTGAAATAGAAATCAGACTTTTACTTACCACAGGAAAGAATTTGTGATTACATATATATTCCAAGAGACCATAGATGGCCGTGATTATTATCAATTACATCTTTATATGTAAAACAATAAGTCACTTTTCCAGTTTGCAAAGTAAACACTTTTCTTTTTAATTAGAAACTGCAGGATGGCTAGCACTGTAGTAGTTAAGATAAAGTAATATGAGACACATTCTACAATATATTAGATCAACAAAAAATGGCAAAGTTTAGGCTTTTTTATTTTGATGCATATATTCATTGCAAATATTTGAAATATCTTTACTGATCAGTTTGACTAGAGTATTAAAAAGTCATGATAGAAAAATATTGCCATAATGTATTTAGTTTAACAGATTAAAACAAGTTATTTTAAAACTCATAGAAAAAGTTAAAAGTTTCCCTTCAAACTGTCTTTTTATAGTAATAAAAGTAATTAAAACATTGCACAGCTCTATTAAATTAATTTTAAACTTGAATAACTGGATTATCTGCAGGATCCAAAAGGAACAGCTTCAGCACAGGTCAGCTAAATACTGCAGTTCTCTAATAATCCATTTTTGGTGTGAGCCACAAGTCCATAGAACCTTGTTACAAATTAATTAAAACTGTGGGCTCACTGAACTTACAATGTTGCTGCTGCTGCTGTTGTTTACTCGATTATTTCAGTCTTGATTAATTTTGTTTGGTCGATGTTTGACCATGAGGAAAAGGTTGCTTTGCTTATTCATTTGAAGTTAGTCGCACTGGAATCGCCTGTAATAAGGATTTAAACGGAAAGGAACAACCAAAAGCAATTGGGGAGGGGGGGGGCAACAAACAAAAAACACCCGAAGCAAAACAAAAATCCAAAAGCAGGATAAAAAGCTAGCAAATGAGAATCGTTGCAAAGACACTGAAAAAAAGAGAAAAGTCCAGGGCTCACGTTACCTGAGCGATCAGTCTCCAGCCCTTTAACAATTACTGTGTTTGACAATTTACAGAGGTTACTCTGTGGCATTTCGTTTCCAGCACGCACCCTCTAGCGGCCCAATGCTGCATTCGCTCCCCATGACTGACCTCTCCGGCCGCTCCAGGCGGGGAAGCGCCGCCCCCGCTCTAGAGACTATGGCTGCTTAGGGGTGCTTCAGGACGCTGCTGCAGCAGCAGCCACCTTGACTTAACCACATTCCTCCATTCTGGCTTCTCATGAGCGCACGCCTGAAAGCTGGCAGGCAGTCTCCACTGGTCACAGCAAAGCAACAGCCATCTCCCTCCGGAAAAGGCTGGCAGCTCATTTCTGCTGAAACAAAGGGGGGAGATATTAGGAGTTGACTAGGGAATTCGCCTGTGCTTCGATTTTTGGCAGGTATCCTCCCAGTGAAAAATATTCAACTGCTGGTCTCTGGGAAGCATTTGGTACAGTTTTGAAATTGGTGTCGGTGCGAGAGGTGCTTCACCCTAGGTAGAAAACTATCAAGACACGTGCAGAGCAGAGCGGCTGTAGCTTTCTAATAGGTTCAAAACAATGCTCTAGGTTTCATACTATATTTCTATCACTAGCAAGTCCTGGATATTTTTTTTAATTCTATGCTTTGCAGTCCTCAGATCTGCACAGAAGGAAGTGTGAAACAGGAGGCAATTTGATACAAAAATATAAAACCATACGGTTTACTTGCTAGGTTGAAATTGGACAATAGCTGTTCAATAGATACCTACTGCTTCATCAGATGTAGGCACCCCCCCCCTCCCAGTTTATGCAGTGGAAAACTAAAACCAAGACAAATTTCTATTATTTTTCTTTACATCCTAGCCTGAGCTGTTTTTTTTAAAAAGCATTCTCCTGTGTTGCAGCATTGTTCCATAGCAAGCCAATCAGAAAGTGAAACTAATACTTTATTTTCATTGCCCAAATAAAGAAATGAAAAAAGAGTAAAAATAGTTAAACAAATTATATTTTTAAAATACTATCGGTTTTAATAGTCCAAGAATTTATTAGTAACAATCAGCAGGCAAGTGTTATTTATTTACATATGATTCTTAATATTATATTTTCGCTTTAAACAAAGGATTCTTCCGTTAGTCTGGCAAGACGTTAATTAGACATGTAAACTCCTCTTGCATTGCTCCTTTTTTAAAGTGTAGTTGATAAAAAAAAGTTTAGGCTCCATTTCTATGCAAATCCTTGTGTTTCACAGTCCATAGTATGAATGAGAAAGATGGTTTTGTGGTTAGGGCACAGCAGCAGGTGTCAGAAGATGTGGGTTCTTTAGCAATGTCAGAGGCCTTCTGTATGACCCTGTGTAAAGTGTTTCAGCTGTCCCATCTGAAAAATGGGGATAGGAACACTCAGCTACCTCATCTAATTTGTTAACATTTGTAAAGTCCTTGGAGATGTTTGTATAATAATTTACATAGGCATGAAATTATTATTGTTCCCATTTTAATCACCGAGTTTTTATAAAACACAGGCAAAAGTCACTTTAAAGGTGACATGTAAAATATTTTTTAGGAAGCAAAAAAGATTCTGTAGGCCCTCTTTTGGCTTCTCTCTGAGATGTCTGAAGGCCTGAAAAGTTTTTTTTTAAAACAAGCTTTCGTGGGCACAACCCACTCCATCTGAACAAGATGAAGCCCACGAAAGCTCATGATACTATCTAAATTTTTTTGTAGTCTCTAAGGTGCTGCAGGACCATTCGTTGTTTTTTAATTTTTTTTTCAGTTACAGACTAACACGACTGCCCCTTTGAGACATGAAAAGTTTTTGTTTGTTTGATAAGCAAAACAAAACTTTTCACTCCAGTTTTTTTTTAACTTAGAATTATCCGGAGTATACAATCAGGTTTTGTTGGAGGACCTGGAAGAGATACTAGCGTAAGCAGAGGTAAACCTGATATGCTGAGAGTTGGGCAAAACTTTGTTGAAGCAAGTGGGCATAACACTCATAACTCTCATCTCAAATAAATGAAAAAGCAATTAGACACCTCTCATCTCAAATAAATGAAAAAGCAATTATGCTCCTTTATGAATAGACAGCTGAAACAATAGGGACTGTTAATTTGTTTTTTTTAATAAATGGGTATTAACAGAAGCAAAGAATTTTAAGTGACTTAACGCTCCTTTCTCTTCTTCATATCTTAAACTTAGTGAAAACTCAGACTCTTTGGGTATATCTACACAAAACCTATGGCAGCAAGACTCAGAGCCTGGGTTGACCCAGTTTGCAGGGCTCAGCACTAAAATAACTGAATAGATGTTGTCGCTTGGCTTCAGAGCCAGCCCGAGTCTATACAACCTAGTTTCAACACATTAGTCCAACCCCTGCAAGCTTGAGTCCACAGGTGGTAGCTGAACTTCCCCCCCACCCGTCCCCCTGCTTTCAGGGAGGCGCTTCAGAGCCAGCCCGAGTCTATACAACCTAGTTTCAACACATTAGTCCAACCCCTGCAAGCTTGAGTCCACAGGTGGTAGCTGAACTTC